TAGGGAGTGTCTGTACTTGGGGTCCAGTAATGTAGAGGTGGAGACTGGAGAGCCTGTCAGTGCGTGGTGGTGATGGCAAGATCTTAGCCATTGCTTTAACTGATGGTAAATACATAATTATACTTAATTCACAGCATGCTTGGAGTTTTCTCTTTGTGCTGCTGGGCCCTAGGGCTGTGAAATGACTCAAACCCAAAAGTGCTGTCACTGGGGTAGAAACATGGAATTGCACAGTTTCGATTAAAAAAAAAAAAAAAGACTGTTTAGCTGGTTTATAAAAAAAGTCGTTGGGGAAAGCTGCATCCTTCTGATGCATGTGTGAGCATTGTAGGACAAAAACACAAAAGCTACATTTGGGAACTGTCTTGTGGCTGGGGGTCCTTGGAGGTCCCTGTTGGGGATCCCCGCTGGTCTGTTGCCCTCCTCTGCTTTCCCTTGGTCAGGACACAACAAGGGCTGGGGGGTGGCAGCAGCGTGGCCCGTGTGGTGCTAAACCCCTCTCCTTGCGCTCCAAAGGGACTTGAGCCAAGCGTATCTGGGTTGGGTTTTTTATGTGGATTCTGTTGGCTCTCAGGCAACGCTTCCAGGTTGGTCTTGGCAATTATTGAAGTGGGAAGTTACTTCTGAAACTATCAGATGCTGAATTCTCCAGGAGTCCCTTACCTCAGGGGCTGGGGCTTTTGGCAACACCAGGAACCCCAAGAGCCAGGGGAGGGACCTTCCCCACCCTGTGCGGAGGAGCACCCCACACCCTTCCATCGCACGTGGGCCACCTTGATGTTCCTGGGGACTGAGGGCTTGCTCCACCTCAGATTAAAACCATGCTATGAGTGTATGCTAATCTGGTGTGAAGCACTCGCGTGTTGCTTGGTTGTCATCTCTCTTTAAATTATGGGTATTTCAGTATTTAGCCCGGTGGAGGCCGGAGCTTATAGGCAGCCCTCGAAGAATAATAATAATAATGAGCAGTGAGTTTAAAACTTTACCCTGAGAGGCCGGGTTTGGTATTGGTGCAATCGACCTGCTCGGTCCTGTGCTCTGGGAGGAGATGAGGTATCCTCTGGTGCGTGCATTTCTCTGGTTCCCCGCCAGCACTGACTTTCACGAAGGCCCGCAGGAGTGCAGGGACAGGGCTCCTCTTTACCTAAATGAAGCATTTTTTTTTAAGAAACAAGATTTTAACAGGGGAAATACATCACGGAGGTGCCGAGCATCCCTGTGCGGCGGAGCCCCTTCCCTCCTGAGCGGTGGGTGGAGGGTCAGTCCGTCTGTCTGTCTTTGCCCCATGCTACGTGATCGTTTCCCACACGAGGTGGCGCTCTTTGCCTTTCAATAAAGCAAAATGCAATTATTATTATTAATCTTTTTTAATTGTTCCCCCCCCCTCCAGCCCTGCCTGACCCCTTAGTCCCAGGGCTGCTCCCGGGCTGAGGATGGAACTGGGAGCAGCTCTGACCCCGGAGGCTTCCACCCACACATGGAAGGCTGGAGGGACAGATGCAAGTGTGCAAAAACACCCCACCGCCTCCAGCTCTTTAAAAGAGAGACTGCTAATTGATTTTTCCACCTTAATTTAAGACTCCTTTGATACAGCTTTGTCCTCCAAGCCCAGCTCAGATGCTCTGCCCTGTCCTTGCCCTGCCCTAGCAGGCCTGTGAGCCCCAAACCCCAGGGACAAGACCCCATGCTTGCTCCAGGTTGGGGTGCGGACCCTGAGGCGTTCCTGGGCTCCTTTGGGGCCAAGGCCTGGCTGTGGGGCCGGGCTGGGCCCTCCTTTTTGCCTGCAGCAAGGGGCTCCTGCCCCCCTTCCTGGGAGCGAGGGTGGTTTGGGAGGGAAATGCGATAGGGGAGCTAATGGTGCCCTTTGCCAGCCGGCATTAAAAATTCATGTGCGTGATGGGCTCTTCCAAATAAGTCCAGGCAGGGCAAGTTCCTGCCTCCTCCGAGCTGCTGGCAAGCCCGCAGGCTGCCTGTCCCCCCCGGACCCAGTGCCACCAGCGCCCCAGCCCCTCTTGGTGGGGCGCAGGGTGTCCCTGCGTGCTGGGGTGGGGGGGAGTCGGGGGCCCTACAGGATGATGGGGGCGGCTGGCGTGGGTTGTGGGGCAGCCAGATGGAGT